ACATGCATCAAAAGCAACTTCTCCATGAGAGCTATGCTGCCCTTTGAATGGTGGTACTAAAATCCCATTTACTGAGAAATCATCATTCTCTTCCTCTTCTCTGAGCACTTTTCCAAGGGAGAAAGACAAATTCCATTGTGAACTATCTTCTTTAGAGACAGCCAAAATTTTATTTTGTGTATTTCTCAAAAAACTGCCATGTTGGAAAGGAGGGTTTTTTTACGGGCAACCAAAAGTTTCATTAAACTACTTCTTCCACTTTGCCTCATCTCTAACACTTCTACTCACTGTGTTCGGTGTCCCTTGTAAGTCTAGATGAGGGGGAAAACCACCACAGAGCCACAAGATGCCAGCATGTCCTTCACAGGGGGCTTGCCTTCGGAACAAAAAAGGAGGGCACCTGGGATAGACAGTCTGCTCTCCCTCTACACACAACAGGTACAAAAGAAGAATGTTATGCCTAGCAGCCTAGGTAAGTTGTCTAGAATCAGAACTGAAGCCTTATTAGCGAAACTGAGCAGGGTGGGAGGAGAGGGGTGAGACAGGAATAGGTAAAGGTAAAGGTTCTCCTTGACAATTTGTCCAGACGTGTCCAGCTCTAGGGGGCGGTGCTCATCTCCGTTTCCAACCCATAAAACTAGCATTTGTCCAAAGACAATCTTCCGTGGTCAGGTGGCCAGCGCAACTAGACACAGAATGTCGTTACCTTCCCACCTTGGTGGTACCTATTTATCTACTTGCATTTGTATGCTTTCGAACTGCTAGGTTGGTGGGAGCTGGGACAAGTGACGGGAGTTCACTCCATCGCATGGATTCAAGCTTACGACTGCAGGTCTTCTGCGGTTTAGCCTGCAGCACCACCACGTCCCGAGACAGGAATACTTCTCTTCAAAACAGATGCAGTCTTAGTGAAAGTACACTTTGCTAGATATTCAGGTAATCAAATACCGTTGACATATTTTTCTCTAGAACACAGATATCCAATTATGCCAAGCAATCTATCTGACTAAATAAAGGAATAGGAAGATTATGACACATAAAATGCTAAGTGGCCTACAAATACTCTTCAACAGCTTTAAAGGAACCTCCACACAATATGTGGAACCACAACACTCATTATGCCCACAGGTTCAACCACAATGACGACAAAGACTGAATTAAGTTTAAACAGGCTAACCTTCTCCGTTCAGGAATTTCAAATGCAACAAGTGGGAATAGACAATGAAATTAGGACTGTTCTTTTCCTTTTTTGCTGTTGTTGTTCATGTTTTGTGGCTGTTGCCAGTTGCGCAGTATTCAGATTTTTATGTTTATTCCAGTCTTCTATGAGAATTGCATTTAACTACTGCACTTAACTTTAAAATGTAACCATTATCTTCTGTGGAGTAGGTACCTTCCAAAATAAAACTTTCACATTTTATGGGCTTGTAAGGATTTTTAAATTCCTTTTTAATCTCCCTTTTAAAAGTGAGAAACTGCACTTAAGCTATAAAGCACTAATTCACAGCTAATCTCACTCTGATCTTGAACTGTAGTTTTTCCTCTAAGACAGAGATAGAGCTATTATAGCTATTGATGGATGACTCTTTCTCTTTCTGCTTTTCCAGCACTCTAGAATTTTTGAAACATTCAAAATTAGTTTTTAAAAGTTAGATAGTTTATGAAATTTGGGTTATCTTTATTTCTTATGTAAACAATGGAACCAATGGATGTCACCACAAGGTTTACATGCTGATCTATGGAGGGATACCTTAGGATAAATGTTAATAAATGACTGCTGGCTATACTCTCTAGCCCACACTTTCTTCAGCAAATCATAATGGCCCAAAACATTGTGTAACTATACTGGCATAACTTGAACGTTCACAAGTTGTTGCAAAATTTGGACCAAGGCAGAAGTCATATCCAGGAAACAGTTCTGATGACACAGTTAAACAACTAGTTGTGCCATCATCTGTGAAACTAGTTGGGCAATCAAACACATGGATTGCCTGCCATAACTCTCCATGAACATCCACAGGCATAACTTTATGCTACACCAAGTGCAATAGGATTTCAGCCACTGTATTTTATATTTGGCAGATTGTCTTATTCCACCTAGATCTACCCGAATCACCCGATATAGCCAGCAGGGACAGCTGAGGGGCCTGACGCCGAGGGAGGCCCGGAAGGAAAAAACAAGAAACCAGGCCTTCTCGGCGGTGGCCCCTCAGCTGTGGAACACTCTCCCAACCGAAATTTGGCTGGCACCCTTGCTGGGTGTCTTTAAAAGCCAGTTAAAAACTTGGCTATTCAAGCAGGCCTTCCCTCCAGTTAATTAAGTTGTGGTGGGTTTTTGTTTTTGTTTTTTGTTTTTTTGCCATCTTGATAATGTATTGTTTAGGAATTAATTGTTATAATTGTAATTGTATATTTTTAATGATTTATACATGTTATATTATGTGTTTTTATCCGGAATTAATCGTTATAATTGTAATTGTATATTTTTTATGATTTTATACATGTTATGTGTTTTTATCTATGTAACCCGCCTGAGTTGACATTGTCTAGAGGGGCGGGGTAAAAATCTAATAAATAAATAAATAAAATAAATGATAGAGTGGTGCCTCGCACAACGGGTGCCTCACATTGAATTCCTTGTATAAATCAATAGAATCAATTTTTTTAAATACACATACCATTTTACATGCACTTTTCGCCATGCATACTGTTTAGTGTAACATTTGCTAAGGTATATAATTTTTGTACAGTTTTTGACTGAAAAACCTTGCCATCAAATGCAACAAATGTGTTGTGCCACACAAACAGGCACCTTCCATGCTATGAACAAGGAATTCAAAGAATTTTCTACATGCAGTAAATAACCATTTAGAAAGTAGGCTTCACCCTCATCCAAACTACTTTTCCTTCTCAGTTTACCATTTGAAATGGTCTGCTTCTTATGTCATTCTAAGAGATGGCTAAGGATAACTCTGACTTGAGAAATGAATACATACTGCAGTTCCCCAGGCTTTATTAAATAAGTCTCAGTAGTTTGCACAAGAATGCAGATGAAGAAAGCCAAAAATAATCCATAACCTGCCACTGAAATAACTAACTTCATTTATATTTTCTTTAATTAATACCTGCATTTCAGTAACATTCAGCTCTCTGTCTCATATGCATTCAGAACATTAGTCTGAACAAAATTTCCACAAAGCCTCTGCAAGTTTGTCATACTTGTGCATGCTCTCACATCTGACAGGAGGCCATGCTTCATTGTCACAGGAAAAAAAATGAGCATTTTGAGGGTTTTTTTAAATACTTAATTCCTGTTACTGTTAAGGTTTCTTATGTTTAAATATTTAATTTATATGTAAGGGGGGGAACCCTTATGATTGGCAAGATGAGGATATAAAACATGGAAGGAAAAATATGGCCAAATTGCTTTTAAAGGCCATTAAAAATAGCTAGTATACATATACCAATAAAATAATTTCATTATTATCTTTTTTGTTACTTTTAAAATATAATTTCATTGCCCTTTGTTACTGAGAAAGGCAATTAATACAAGTACAGTGGATCCTCGACTTACAGACGGCTCGACTTACAGACTTTTCGAGTTACAGACTTCTCTGGCCGCAAAATTTAGGTTCGACTTGCAGCCGGAGAATCAACTTACAGACCAGGAAAAAAAATGGAACAAAAACGGCCAGTTACAGATTAATCGGTTTTCAATGTATTGTAGGTCAATGGAGACTTGACCTACAGACTTTTCGACCTGCAGCCACCGTTCCAATACGGATTAATTCCATAAGTAGAGGGTCCACTGTAATTACAGGGCTTTTAACTGTTTACTTTTGAGCTACAGGAAAGAAACATGAGATTTATACAAATAGTCTTTCATGAGATTCTGAGATCTGAGTAGAGCTATGTATGTAGAACATACATGAGATGCCTCTCCCATCATGCTTCCTTTCATGAGATTCTGAGATCTGAGTATGTATGTACAGCATACATGAGATGCCTCTCCCATCATGCTTTTCATGCTCAAGCAATACACAGTCATCACCAGACCAAGCTTCAAGTGGAATCTGAGCAATGCTCAAATTTAGGCAGCTTTTCTGTTCCTTCTTAGAAGAGCTTCAGCTTCATTCAGTCCCTGAACTTTCAAAACAAATTATATAGATTCAAATATTCTGTCCCATCATATTTTGAAGTTTTATTAAAAGAGAGTTAATACAGTGGTGCCTCGCAAGATGAATTTAATTCGTTCCGCAGTTAATGTCGTCTTGAGAAAAATTCATCTTGCAAAA